AATTGTGTTTGACCAGTTGGAAGAAGTCCATGTCTGGCTATACATGATTTGTAGTGGCGGTTGAGATGAGTGGTACCAATTCCTTTTTGCCATGCCAATCTTTGTTGGCAGTATTTACATACTGCTTTAGATTCTGCAAGGCCATCAACAACTTTTCCCGTTGAAATCAACTTAAAGTGATCCCAACATTTTGCTTGTTTTTTGGCCTTTCGCTTTCCCCTCGCATCTGGGATATTTAATTGCTGATCTTCATCTTCATGTTCCGCTTCGGGAACGTTAATATCATCCAAATCAACTGGAATGTGGCTTCCATGACCGTGAATGTGAACATCTTCAGGTATCGGTATGTCATTTAGACCGGCAAATTCATTTGGAAAATGACTTTGCGGCGTACTAGGCGATTCTCCATAATGTGGCAATGGCTCACATCTTGTATCGAACAAGCTCTCAACAAATGAACGTTGATCCATTTCTGTGATTGTTTATGATGAAATCTTAACTAGATGAATATAAATGTAGTGAGATTGTGAGAATTGAGAATTGGATGAATTGAAATTGTAACTAATAAACTGAAAAAATTGAATTGATATTGTATATTTTACAACACAAGAGAGTAAAAATTCGATAATTGATATAATAAAAGATAGTTGAGATTTGAGAGAGTTGTAATCTTGGAAGAGATTGATATGAAAAAAAAAAATTGGGTAAGGGGCTATTTATAGTAAAAAAAGGAGGGGAAAAAAAAAGTTCAGTGACCGTTCTGGTCACTGAACGGCTATTTATAGTAAAAAAAGGAGGGGAAAAAAAAAGTTCAGTGACCGTTCTGGTCACTGAACAAAAGTTCAGTGACCAGAACGGTCACTGAGCTCGATGAGCTACGAGCCCAGCTCGTCCAAACGACCCACCCAGGAGGGCTCAGCTCGCCTACGGGCGAGGCCCGCTCGACTCATGCTCGGGCTCGTGATATCACGAGCTCGAACCGCCCACGAGCCCATGTTTCAAGAGCCGAGCTGGTTTGGCCCAATTGCCATCACTAGGAGGGACCAACAAAATCTAGAGCTGGCGTTTGTGATACAGTCTGTGGATAAGCTTTTTCTTAATTACATCTAAAATTTGTAAGCAAACCCCTTTTTGCTTCAGATTATTTTTATAATCAATGAAATGCAATCTTTGGATTTTTCTTTATACATATTCAATTAGAGCAGGCGAAGGCATTCTTTCCTGGAAGCATCAATTAATTTTTAGAACATTGATTTCTTAAGACATCGACTATCAAATTTGACCATAAATTTGATACAAACAAGAATATTTTTTTTTTCCTGTAATCCATTCAAACAACTCGATAATTACCATCAACTTTTCAACACATCGAAATTGACACTTTGAAATAAATGGGCAATGTATTTTTAAGCACGTATTGTGTGCCACATATGCCACCCATATTTTAAGTCATATAAATGCGACAAAATATTGCTAGGCAAGGAAAAAAAGGAACTGATTAAATATTATTCTCGAAGAATTTGAAATTGATTTTACAAATTATTTTTAAGGGAGCTGACGAGATAAAAAGGTCTCCACTTTTTAACTATTATTACGTGTATTAGAAGATTCAATGCAACGAAAAAAATAAAATCATGTCAAGTTCGATCCAACAAACGCAGCTTGATGAATGCAAGAACAATAATTTAATTTTTTTTTAAAGTTGTTAAATCCATTAAATACACATTTAATCCATTAATTTAATTTAATCCGCTTAAGGCGGCGTGTGAAGGTCAGTTTTACATTTTTGTTTTTCTTTCTAGTAATTTTTTTTTTAATTTTTTTATAAAGACTTGAATTTTCATTTTAAAAAGTCAATATAATTAAGAGGAGCAACTCAAATCCTTATTATATATTATTTTATATTTTCATATTTATTTGAGGTGTGATGATCCTTTAACGATTTTCTTTTAACTTGTTTTATCTTAAGTTTGACACATTAATTTGTCCCTTAAAAAGAGCAATTGCATTCCACTCGCAGCTAACGAACCTTTTTGAAGATATCCATCCAAAAAGACCGATTGTACACAAAATGCAAAGGTTTGGGACAATTTGTACCAATATTTAAAGTTTGGACCAAAAATACAAGATGAGCAAATGTTTAAAACCATGTGTCAATTTCCCAATAAAGTAAAAAATATATAGATAATGATGTTGGACTTTTATAAAAAGATTCCTTCTTTATGTTTGAAGTTTCCTCAAAATGCCCTTTAATTTGAAAAATATTTTTGATAGACAGATCCGTCTGCACTGTTTGAATATCTTAAATTTAAAGATTGAGAAGAATTATATTTGCAAATTTAAATTGTAAATTTAAATAAGAGATATTCAATTATGAGTCTAGATATACTGTCAAAATTTTACTGTACTTTCAATAAAATCATGACATATCACTAAAATTTTGAGGTTTCAAAATTAATTTCATTTTAATTCTTTGTTTTATAAATGAAAGATTCGGTTCTCTATAAGGAGATATTGATTTTAATATATATATATGATGTGCACTGTGTAAATTCTTGGGCTGACGTCACTGTATACAATATCTTTTGAATATTTGAAAGTTGACTTCTAATTTCTAATTTCTTAAAATCATTATCAAGATAACATTACTTTGTTTGAGGTGACTGATTCGACTATGATACTTAAGTTGGTTGGTTTAACGTAGATATGGAGAAATTACAATGAAATAAATCAAAATTTTACTCTTACTAAGAATGAAATGACGATGATGAATCGAAGACGGATTTGTTTAAAATCCAAATATGAGTTCAAAATGAATATTTGGAATAAAATAATGCCGATGTCCATAAATTAGCTACTTAGTCAGTGAAATTTTGAAGCATCGCAAAGTTAATAAGTTTGTATGAACACTCATATTCTATTCACCTATTTTATCGAAATCTAATTGGTCAATCCTATATCAAATTAGGTCTAAAAAGTTTGAGATTTTTTTAGTATTGTTTTAGCTCTTCATCTATTGTAGGAGCTAAGCACTTCCGCTAGCCTAGCTACCGGTCTTCATTAGACAAGCTATTTGACCGCTCTATTGGGATCAAAAGAGTAATTAGACACATGGTCTCGAAGATTCTTTTGTGATGTGCCTTGAGATGGCCATCACGTCTCCCCTACTATTGGGGAATGCGCTCCCAAGTTGTCGCTATATTGCTTCACAGGAGAAAATTTTCTTCTTTCTTTGGTGACATCCAACTCTTCTCGATACCCTATCATGTTCATTTTTAGTGTAGAAGGAATTGTCGTCAAAGTCTAAGTTCATCCCGGCTTAGTCAAAGTCTAGATTCATCCATCTGCTCTAAGTGATCACGAGTTAAAATCCTTATGCCAAACAGTGAGGAAAGATGCGTAACTAGATCTTGTCTCATGAGTAACGAGATTAGATACATTCCTCTCTTCTACGCACAAACTTGAAAAAGAGTGAGACAACTATCGACAAGTCCGGCTCATCGGCTTAAAGGATAGAACCCAAAAATTGGACCTTTTTTCGGGAACAAAAAAGACGTGGATCCTCATCATCCCCATAAATGGACCCGTTACTTTTTTACGAAAAATAGTGTTCATATGATAGAAGCTATGTTTTATCATAAATTTTATTCCCAGAATTGGGTGAACTGAGTTTCGTTGAAAAATATGCCCCGTAAGGTGACTTGCATCATTGATGGATATCAGCTAGTTACCATATCTACCGCTAACTTCAGCCTGCTTTTGATTATGATGAATTTAATAATTTTTTTTGACAGAGTTCCTCCAATAATTTGAACTCAATCAAACCTGAAATGCAAAATAAACTTCCATTGAAAAATAAAGGAAGACCATATGCCCATGTACTAATCAAGCTATAATATTAACAACTCAGTAGTTTCAATTACTTTTACATAACATAGTTACTTGTTAAATATACTGGATATAACGCGCTTTAATTTTCTTTTTCGATTTTTTTGTGTAATTCATTTCTCATTCACAAGTCTGTCTCTTATGAAGTTGATTTTTTACGAAGTGATTGTGGATGTAATTTTTTTGAAAAATGTGTGGTTAAAATATAAGAAAAAGTTACGAAAAAGTCAAAACTAATTTTTTACAAGGATGTATGAAAATGAGTACGAAAAAAAGGTGATTAAAAAAAAAATCAATTTCAACTTAGTATAACTCGTCAGACAATTGGATGAACCCCCTAAGGCGGTCGGTTGATGTTGAAGGGTCGTTCAACTCCAGCAGCCATTTTTTAACCCACTCGACCAAAATACGACCATCTTGAGTGGGCAAGTCTTGCCATTTTTCAACGTTCTCTAGGTTATAAAAATGATAGAATCAGACAAAGAATTTAAAAACACAACATTCAAAAACCACCCATTTTGCACCAAAATCTTGTTAAGATTTGAGGTTCATCTTAATAAGGTCAATCTTATTAAGAGGATTAGCCCAAGATCTTTTTAAGTTAGTTAATATTTCGATATTTAACCGATGTGAAATTTTTATTCTTTAATATAATCCCGCAAGATAGTAGCTCGTTTGAGCAGACCAATCTTGTAATCCGTTGCTCATTAATCGAGACTTATAATCGAATCGAATCGCTCGTTAGAGTTTAATGAGCTCTGATACCATGTTAAGATTTGAGATCGATCTTAATAAGGTCAACTTTATTAAGAGGAGTAACTCAAGATCTTTTTAAGTTAGTCAATATTTTGGTATTTAATCGATGTGAGATTTTTATCCCTTAACAAATCTAATGATGCCGGAATCTCCAATCCATTGTAAAATCTCAGAAAATTAGGTTATATACACTGAATGGCTACTTTTAGAGTTCAAAACATGCAAATTTTATATTTTTACTTTGCCTTTAGACAAGATTTTTGTCGAGGATTGTCATTCTTTAACATATTCCAACCGTCAAGTATGACCTTACAAACTTTTTGACCTCTAGTATATATAAAATGATCCACTAGTACACTATCATTAGTCACCAAATTTGAACCCACAAAAGGATATTGAGACTAAAAATATGGAAGGAACTCAAGGAGGGAGGAAAGAAGTAAAATATCGAGGCATTCGCAGGCGGCCATGGGGAAAATATGCAGCTGAAATACGCGATCCGAAAAGAAATGGCGCGCGGTTGTGGTTAGGTACGTTCGACACATCGGAAGAGGCTGCAAGGGCTTATGATAGAGCTGCGTATGCTTTGAGGGGTCATCAAGCAATTCTTAACTTTCCAAATGATGACCTATATAGAAATGCGGGCCTGCCTCCATCTATTAGTTATTCATCTTCGTCTTCGTCTTCGTCTTCGTCTTCGTCTTCTTCAATTCCTGCTCGTGATAAAGGGCAGGAAGAACAGGTAATCGAGTTCGAGTGTTTGGATAATAAGCTGTTGGAGGATCTTCTTGAGTGGCACAAGTGAAGAGAAAAACATAGTAAATTTGAGATTTTTCCTTGTTCTAAATTTTTCCTTTCAAAGTTTGTGCAGAAAACCCTTTTTTATTTTGGATATGCTTGTATTTCTTGCTCTTCTCTGAAATCATCAAGTGAAGAGTAGAATAAGGGCACCAATTTAAAAATTACGTAGCTAGTTTCTTGGGCACAGGAAGGTTGAACTTTCCAAATTACATAATTATCTGCCTGAATATTCAGGTTGATCCGATATAATTTGGGTTTGTTTGTACTATTATTGAGAACATTATTGTTAAATCCAATGCTTTTATAGAAATTACATCATTGCTAGATCATTTATCAATTTTGCTAATTCGGCGGAGAATGGTTCATCTGTTGGATCAGGAGGATATCCTCATTATGCTCCTTGTTACCAATAAAAATTACTACATTTTTGGCATTTCTTGAGCGAATTTCATGATCCAATGGCTCTTGAAAAAGTTTTCAGTAGGAAACTCTTTTTTCTTTTGTGTAATGTAATGAACAAAAAGCACGATGTCCAGTATACGAACCCACACAAAGAGTCTATGAATAGCCTTCGACTTCAAAGAAAGGGTAGTTTTACTTAGGTTTTACTGTGCAATTAACTTCATTAAATTTTCTAGGAACGGTTTGCAATATCATTAAGTCATGTTTTCATGTCTAAATTTGCTAAATTCTAGGGTACCCTTGGCTAAAGATGGGTGAATGTTAGGCAATTTGTTGTCAAACGACCTCCCGAGCAATGATGTAATCTCGATTTTATTTATTATCAGTCGGCTTTAGCCATATGATTTAATTATATATCGACACTATCATCGAGACAACCCAACCCAATTTTCTATGGACCGTTAGAAGCAACCTATTTTAATAGTATTGCTCGTGGTTCGTCCCATTTACTTTGAGGGCTATGGTATTCATTTAGAGCTCATTATTTTTGTGTTGAGCCTTGTTTGGACCACTAAGTTAACCTAACCTACCATTTTTGGCCACTCACTAGTCTATAACTTACGGCTCCTTCCACGCCTCCACTATGAAGAACTCTCCATCTCTTTTTGAAATCTTGATTCTCAACCTCTTTCTTTCAAATAATCCGTGTGGTTTTCTCTTGGGCTATATTGTTCTTTATCTTGGCCGACTCTTTGTGAGTATAAATAGCAACCGTATGTGGGAAGAAAGAAAGTGAAAGTTGGGTGTTGTCTTAATCGTGGTTGTGTCGATATTTGGTGGAAATTAAGCCTGGTATCACCTTGGTTATTGCTGGAATTTCACCTCACAACTAGTATCAGAGCGTTGTGGTAGAAGATTGGTTCAAAAACTAGGCTAAATCATGAAAGAGGAGCGCGATTTTTAAGCATTGACCTAATTGAACTTTACCAATTCTGACCAAACGCGACCTCCGTTGGACGAACGGAGGCTGGACCCATAACCAGCAAGTGGAGGTGCCTTCGATGGTGAGGAGGCGGCGTGTGGAGGAGTTCCTGAGTGGTTTTTTCGTGCCATTTCAATTATTTTGATTCCCTGAACATACTAATGTGTTTGTTTTAGTGTTTCAGGTTGTGCAGAAAATTTTGGACGATTTTGCCCCTGATTACAATCTGCATTTGTTGCTAAATGAACTGTTATATTTGTTGAACCTTTAGGGCGAATAGTGACGGCCCTAAAGCAGTAAATTCGCATCTCTCCATGTTACGGACTCGGATAGGTCCGCTCTGGTAAATTGGCTGAAACCTTTATATTTTTGCATTAGCAGATCATCGTGTGGGGTGATCATTAGGTTTGGGGGGTTGCCATTGCTTGACAACCATTGCTTGTGCTAGAAATTAGGGTTACGTGCTCTTGATTGTTTGATTGAGTATTTGTCTTTTAGTTAAATCAGTATTTGAGCCTCAGTGATATAACTGTCATGAAACTAATTATCTGTTAGACGTAGTTTTCTGTTGCATTGTTATTTCCGCTGCTTATCCATTCCATTAGAATTACCGTGACCTTACCCGTTTTCAAACATTCCCTTGATCTAAGACCCCGAGTCTTACGAAATCCTGGAAATCTTGAACAGTGTATATTATTTGAAACCCTAAGACTACTTTGTGTGGTTTGATTGTGTCTTTTGTGCACTCTTTAACTATTGTGTAAAGATGACAACTCACAATTTTGATTTGGGGATTTTTAGTGGAAAGGGTGATTTTTCTTTTTGGCAAAAAAAAAAAAAAAATGAAGGGCATTTTGTCAAACAAAAAGTTTTAAAGGCTATTGAAGGCAAATTTTCAACTGATTTTTCACAAGAACAAAGAGAAGAAGTCGATGAGCTTGCTTATACATCAATCATTTTACACTTGTCTGACGTCGTTTTAAGAAATGTGGGTAAACTGAAAACCACTAAAGAACTTTGGAAAAAATTGGAAGACTTATATTTGCTTAAGTCTACATCGAATAAACTTTACTTGCTCAAACGTTTTTTCAATTTTAAAATGGATCTTTCAAAGGATCTCGATGACAATTTAGACGTGTTTAACAAATTGGTGCAATATATAGTTAATTATGATGAGGCTGTGTCCGAAACTTATAAGGCTATAATTTTGCTCAATGCTATTCCTGATTCCTATAAGGAAGTTAAGAACACCATTAAGTATGACAAAGATATGTTGACACATGAAATTGTCATAGACTTTCTTAGAAGTAAAGAAATGGAAATTAGGGCTGAAAAACACGATAAGAGGAACGGTGAAGTACATATGATGCGGGGTAGAACTCAATTTAGGCAAAATAGCCATGATAGATATCAAATTAGTGACGAGTCAAGTGGTAATGGATGCAAAAAGAAGAGCAAAGGTAGGTTTAAATCGAAATCTAGGACTATGGTTGTGGAAACACGGGGCATTTTATAAAGAATTGTCATAAGGAGAATGGTAAGCTAAAGGTTAAGGAGAGAGATGAGGTCAATGTGTTAGCATCTACTTCCGTTATAGATGGTGGTGAGGTCTATATGATTACCAGTCCCGTTGCATATACTGCTGAATTAAATCTAACTACTAATTACCGCATGCATGAGTGGATACTTGACTCTGGTGCATCTTTTCATGTGACGTCTGAAAAGAATTGATTTTATAAATTGCATGAATCTAGTGTTAGGCATGTTATGCTGTGTGATAACTTTGCCTATACTATTGCTGGAATTGGTGACATAAACGTAAAATTTGACACAGGTTTTGTGTACACGTTAAAGGATGTTATATATATTCCTAAATTGTCTAGAAATCTGATTTCAGTAGGAAGACTTGAAAAGGATGACTTAACTGGTAAAATTGGAAATGGTATGTTAAAAATGATCAAGGGTGCTTTAGTTCCCTTTAAGGGAACTAAGAAAAACTATATCTATATTACCACTGGAGAAGTGATTCGAGGTTTGAACTCCTCTACCTAGTCTACCAAGATTGATCACACACAAACATAACATAATAGACTTGCTCATGTAGGCATCAAGGGACTTAAACTACTTAATGAAAAAGGTGCGTTTGGTAATGACTGTGTGTCAGATTTGTCATTTTGTGATCATTGTGTGCTTGATAAGTATCATAAAACTTCGTTCTCTACGAGTGTTAATAGAGCTAAAGGCATGCTTGAATATGTGCACTCTGATCTGTGGGGTCCTGCTAGTAATCCCACATCGGGTGGGAATAGGTATTTCCTGTCTATTATCGATGACTATACTAGGAAAGTATGTGTCTATCTATTGAAAGATAAATCTGAGACTTTCAATAGTTTTAATAACTGGAAGAGACAAGTGGAAAATCAAACTGGCAAGAAAATCAAATTTTTAAAGATAGATAATAGAATTCTGCAATACGGTATTTGATAGTATGTGTAAAGAAAGCGACATAACTAGACATAAGACTGTTCCTTACACTCTTCAGCAAAATGGGATAGTGGAAAGGATGAATAGGATCATACTTGATAAAGTACATTGTATGATGCTAAGTTCTGGTGTTCCCAAGTCATTTTGGGGTGAGGCTATTATGACTGCTTGTTATTTGATTAACCTGACTCCTTCTGCTGCATTGAATGGTGACACTCCGTATGAGAGATGGTCGAGTAAACTGAGTGATTACTTGATGCTTAGAACTTTTGGCTGTACTGCTTTTTCTCATCAGAGTGAGGAAAAGCTGGAACCTAGAGCTAGAAAGTGTGTCTTTCTAGGATACGCCGAGGGTGTTAAGGGTTATAGGTTATGAGATAGAAGCCAAAAAGGGGTTAAGATCATCATAAGTAGGGATGTTACGTTTAACGAGAATGAGATGCCAAGTATTACAGGGGAAACTGAACCTGAGAGTGAAACTGAACCAGGTGAAGAGAGAGACCCGTTTAAGGTGGAGTTAGGAAAGTTCAGTACACCTGCCCCTACTGCTCCTAATGAGGTGGAGATTCAAGTTCAGGAACCTGAGATGGAGAATAGTAACGAAGTAGTGATAGAAGAATACTATGAGGAAGAAAATTCTTTAGCTAACTACAACATAGTTAGGGATAGAAAAAGGAGACAAACGAGAGAACCTAGAAGGTTCGATTTTGAATCTGAATTAACTTTCGCCCATACTAGTTATGAAGAACTAGCTGATAAAGAGCTAAAAACCTTTGACGAGGTGATAGAGAATGATCAATCTAATGAATGACATAAGACAATAAAAAAAGAGATGAGTTCTCTAGAAAAGAATCATACTTGGGAGTTGGTACCTAGGCCTAAGAACAAATCAATTGTTGATTGTAAATGGATCTTGAAGGTTAAGGAAGGTACTAGTAGCTTGGAACCCTTAAGGTTTAAAGTTAGGTTAGTGGCTAAAGGTTATACATAGAAGGAGGTCGTTGATTATAATGAGATTTTCTCACCAGTTATTAAGTACACCACTATTAGGGTCATGCTCGCATTGGTTGCACACTTTGACTGGAAACTTGAACAACTTGATGTAAAAACTGTCTTTTTACATGGTGAACTTGATGAACAAATCTTCATGAATCAACCAAAAGGTTTTAAGGATAAGTCAAAACTTGATTATGTGTATTTTCTAAGAAAATCCTTGTATGTGTTAAAACAATCTCCTAGATAGTGGTACAAGAGGTTTGATTCCTTTGTACTCACTATAGGGTTCCAAAGAAGTAAATTTGATTAGTGCTTGTATTTTCAGCACAATGAGACTGATGATAATTACCTGTTTTTGTTGCTCTATGTGGACGTCATGCTCTTGACTAGATCATCCTCTAAGTGGATAAATAACATAAAAGCAAAACTAAGTGGTGAATTTGACATGAAAGACCTATGAAAGGTTAAGAGAATCCTAGGCATGAAAATAGAAAGAGATAGGTTAAATTCCATTTTGTTCTTGCATCAGTCTCCATACATATTTAAAGTGTTGAAAAAATTTAATATGAGTGATTGCAAACCTGTCACGTTGCCTCTTGTTAATCATTTTGTTTTATCGAAAGAACAAACTCCTTGTAATGAGCGTGAAGTAGAATATATGAGTAGAGTGCCTTACTGTAATGTGATTGGTTCCATAATGTATTTGATGGTTTGCACTAGACCGGGTTTATGTTTTACTGTCAGTACTCTCAGTAGGTACATGGTTAATCCGGGCTCTAAACATTGGAAAGTGCTAAAGTGGCTATTAAAGTACTTGAAGTGTACAAGTGACGTAGGTTTAAAGTTTAGTACTAATAAAGAAGGTATAAAATTAAAGGATTTTGTAGATGCTGATTATGCGAGAGATAGGGATGGTAAGAAATCTACCTTGTCTTACGTGTTTACCTTATCTAATTCATGTGTTAGTTGGAAATCACAGTTGCAACACATTGTTGCACTATACACTATAGAATTAGAATATATTACCACCACTGAAACTATTAAAGAAGCTCTATGGCTTAGAGGCATACTTCATGAACTATGTGTCTTGAATGATAATATGGTAGTGTATTCTGATAGTCAGTCATCTATACATTTGTGCAAGAACCCCATTTTTCACGAGCGCACTAAACACATTGATATTAGACTCCACTTCATTAAAGATATAATATCTCAAGAGGTGGTAAGACTTGAAAATGTCCACACCCACTACAATCTTTCCGATATTGGGATGAAGGTACTGCCACTGGCAAAGTTTAGAAGTTGCAAGGAACTTCTAAATATCACTATAGGTAAATGATTTCCAATTTTATTGGTTTTCTATTAGAGGTGTCACTAATGGGATACATTTTCTTTTGCAGGTCTTTTGACACCAAGGTGGAGGTTGTTAGGTAATTTGTTGTCAAACGACCTCTCGGGCAATGATGTAACCTCGATTTTATTTATTATCAGTCAGCCTTGACCATATGATTGGATTATATATCGACACTATCATCAAGACAACCCAACCCAATTTTCTATGGACCGTTAGAAGCAACATATTTGAATAATATTGCTCGTGGTCTGTGCCACTTACTTGGAGGGCTATGGTATTCATTTGGAGCCCATTATCTCTGTGTTGAGCCTTGTTTGTACCACTAAGTTAACCTAACCTAACTTACCATTTTTTGCCACTCACTAGTCTATAACTTACGGCTCCTTCCATGCCTCCACTATGAAGAACTCTCCATCTCTTTCTGTGATCTTGATTCTCGGCCTCTTTCTTTCAAATAACTTGTGTGGTTTTCTCTTGGGCTATATTGTTCTTCATCTTGGCCGACTCTTTGTAAGTATAAATAGCAACCGTATGTGGGAAGAAAGAAAGTGAAAGTTGGGTGTTGTCTCAATGGTGGTTGTGTCGGTATTTGATGAAAATTGAGCCCGGTATCACCTTGGTTATTGCTGGAATTTCACCTCACAATGAAGATCTAAGAATAACGTTAGTGAATTAATCAATTAAGAGGGTGATTAGTCAGTAATGAGGAGGAGGATAATTTGTGAAAGAAGCGAGGGGATTCTTGAATGTGTAAAACAATGCAAATGAATTTGAAAAAGATTAACAAGTAGGAATTTGATGAAAATATAAAAAAAAAATATATATATTGAGAAGAAAATTCATTTGGATTTGTTCAATAATTTTTTTTTGGCATTTCATGCAGCCATAAGGAGCAATTAAGGATGTTTTAATATTGGAATTTCATGGAGAAACAAGAATGTGCACTTCTGAAGGCTTTTTCGTATCTAGCAACTTGTTAGAAAGGTGAATGTGATTAAATTCTCGAATTGTAATATAAATTGACGAGATTGTGCTTATATCAATATGACATTAGTGACCGGTTTGGTATGGTGTCATACTGTTATTTACAATAATAAACATTATTAAGCAAGAGAAATAAGTTAAAACCTTGCTCATGGTCTAATTATATATTATCCACATATGTGATGTTAAAAATGAAGCTTAGTTTACTTTTGTCGGTTAAAGTTTCTTTCTTTGTGTGCACGTTTGTGTTGGTTAAAATATAGATAAAGTGAGATGAAATTGAAATTATGGTAGACTATATATCTATTGTTAATTCGTTCGATTAAGATGTTAAAATGGATATTCATGAGTTGTTTTAATGGAGACACAAGACGTTACTAAACATAAATTATTATTGAATTATACTAACAAATGATAATAATTTGTCAAAAATAGTGAAAATAAATCATGATTAATGATTATAAGAAAAATAGTTGCAAACTTCATAAATCATTAAAATATATTTCATAAATCATTAAGTGATGTGGTTTAAAATGTTAAATCATTAACCTTTTGTAGCTTGATTAGTTACTAATAATTCATCATGGGTAATGAATTGAGTGGATGTTTGTCAAAGTTTTAAATTGTTTATAAACTGATCAATTATATTTTTATCAATATATTTCATAAAACTCAAAACTTTTACTTACTTTTAACTATACAATATTTCGAACCCATTGCTTATAAGAATTCATTAAAGCACTCACAAGGGCTCAAACGATGGGAAAAATAAAAATAACATGGGATGATAGAACCTTAACCAACACACATGGATTTATGTCAAGTATATAGATAATTTATATACAAAATAATTTATATTCTCTCAATATTTACGGAGACAGAAACGCGTTTAACTCTTTAGACTCCCACATGCTACAATAACAAAGTCACATTGAGGCTTGATGATCTTTCGATACCGGATTAATTGTAGTCCCATTTTATTTCGTAAATTGTACCGAATAATTTATCGTAATAAAAGTACTAAGGTTGCAATATATTTTTTCTTAAGTTTTACTTTACCAAACTCTCACAGACTTTTGTTATGTTAGCCTTCGTGGGCTGGATCAAAAAAAACCAAAAAAACCAAAAAAAAAAAATGTAGGTCAAAGACAACAAAAAGGTGAATAGGCTTGGCAAGGTTTATGCCCACTTGGATCAGAAAATTGCCAAATTTAGTTCCACCAATTTGAAATACACAAATTTGGACTTCTCTGTCAATTAATTATTATTTCACAACTAAGTCCCAATTAAATTTAGCTATAAATCAACTTTTTAGTAGATTTGATAAAAGTTCATAAAAGTGTAGTTGAAAAATATAAAAGTTGTAAATTCCACGAAATGTATGATTAAAATTAATTGTTAACTTTAATTTAAATTTTTATAAACTCTTTTTAGCTAAATCAAATAGAGATTGATTCCTTTTGGGTCTGCTATGCAAAAATTTACTAACCCCTGAGACCTACTTTCTTTTCTGAAAAAATCAAATAACATCTATAATTTCTAAAATTTGCACTTCTTGGTTTGAACAATCATCAATAATAAAGTAAAAGCAAAGATAAATTTTTTATCAGCACATTGATTAGGATCTCATGTTTAAATACTTCATTAATTGATGCCCTTGGACCACATTTGATTAGGATTGCATGTTAGTGGATTAAAGTTTAATTATGTATACTTAGTCATGTCAATAATGTTAGATAATACAAAAAATGATGTAACACATCACTAAAAAAGATATTTGTGAAATAATTTAAACAATCATTCTTGACTGTGTCACATATCTTTCATATTCTTCGCACCCTACCAAGGCTTCTCTATTGAATTTCTTCCTTTAACTGAGAATTCAATTTAGATTTGTCAAACACATTCCACAAAGATCAAGGGGGTGTCGTGATATAACACATTCAGTTCCAAGAATAATTCAAGATTTCGTTTGTGTTCATGTCAACGATTTTTGATGTGGATCCGACTGTTCATGAACCATAGACCTAGCGACGGAGTGACCCATCAAACATGCCGGTTCTCTTTCTCTGATCGTAAAGTCTTTTTATTCCTTTATTTTTCTTTATCTCTCCTAAATATGTGGTTGATTAAGTTGTCATCGAGCGCTCGACAAGCATTCTTACAATCAAAATGCCCAAAGTTGTCACTTGTCTTCAATATTTTTAAAGTAGGAAGGATTTTACATTAGAATTAGTTTATGAAATTCCTGTTGAAAATCAGGTGGGATTCTTCATGATATCACGTTTGATTACATTTCCTTCCGTCGTCAGTACATTGCATCATCAAATGATCATCAATTTGCTAATTAAGAATTAAGATTAAATTAATGCAAACACATGCAATTCATATATTATGATAAGGAATCAGACAAAGTGTCATTTATTATATATAGTTAATAATTAGTAATAGGCCAATAGTTAAGTGCTCTATTTAATTTAATCTGCTTTTAAGCAATTACACCGTGATTATGTCACTTAATGACGCGTGAACATTGGACGACACAGAATTACCTCCATGCTTATTGCTTAGAATTTCAGAAAATAATAAATGTCTATCATTTATTTAGGATCAATACATATACTAAAAGAGGATTCAAGAATTTAACAAAGATACCAAGAAATGTTTGATAGAAAAATTATTATTTTAATTAAAATTATACAAACAGTGTTAGTCACCCAATTTGTAACAAGTATTCATTTTGGTTATTGACCTCTCTTTTTTTTTTTTTTTTTTTTTTTTTTCCATTTCCTTTTCCTTTATCAAAATCAATAACTGATTTTTTGTCTTTTATTCTAGATACTTCACTATGTGTACGCTAAATTATAAAGTGTTTGCTAATCTTTAAAACAAAATGCTGAGGTGACCAATGAAAAATACAAATTACGTGAAAACTAGCGAGGACATTTTTTTAATCATTAATCTAGATGAAATAACGTCTAGTTGTACTAATTATAATTTCGAAATGCACTCATTAAAGAAAATAGAAATATTAAAGACATGTCAGCATTCTTGTTATAGCTCGCTTGATATCGGGTTGACAAATTTCTAATTTTCTACCTCACTTGTGTCTCTAACTATTGATACTGCACATCTTGAGCAAGTTATGAGCACAACACATAAAGAAGACTCCACCATAATATATGAATGCAACACTTTTCGAAGCTATGCACAATTCATATGACACTCAACCGTCTTTTGAACAGGTGACGAACTTTCTCGAGAAGTTTAAATTGTACACTATTTAAACAAGATATTAGAGATTCTATTTTTGAAATTGTGCAAAACCTATATCAACATTGTTCTTATCAATGAATCATTCATCCTAAGTTATGTTTATTGTTAGTCACATCAGCATTCCTGTTGAATAAGCATATAAAGACTAACATAGATTTTAAATTGAAATAAAAACAAAAAATTCTATAACTACTTCAAAACAAGAAGCTTGGTCACATTTTTAAGTCCATTCTAACATAAAACGTCCCAAGTAGCGTACACCTAATATATGCGCAATCATTTTTTTTTTTAAATTCTAAATTAATCTTTTGTTGATAAAAATAAAAGGAAACCACATTAATAATGATGATCTCATTTTAATGACCTTAATTAGCTTTCCATATGATACTTAGAAAAATCATGCACTATATATCATGCAGACACCTGGTCAACTTCTCCATGATTCTTGGCCTAGTCTTGATTATTAACTATCATGGACCAAAAAAGCTTCTTGTACACCATGGTATACAGCTCTCTCACAATATGAAGGGACTCACATGAATATTATATTTGTAGACCCCCCCTATTGTGAGAGGGGTGTATGAGTATACAGCAATAAATGTTATCACCCCGCACAACTGATCAGGGATGGGTCATGAAACAATTTTTTACTTTTATTTCCAGTGACCGACCAACCATGCCCCTTCTCTTTCTCCAATCATAAAGCCTCTTTATTCCTTCATTTTTCTTTCATCTCCCGTGAATAAGTGTCAATTAAGTTGTCATCGATCGTTCAACAAGCATTCATAGGATATCAAGTTGCCCAAAGTTGTCATTTATCTTCAATATTTTAAAAGTACGAAGGATTTTATATTAGAATTAGTTTATGAAATCCCTGTTGAAAATCAGGTGGGAGTCTTCATGATATCACGTTTGATTACATTTCCTTCCATCGTCAGCATGTTGCATCATCAAATGATCATCAATTTGCTAATTAAGAATTAAGATGAAATTAATGCAGACACAATTCATATATTAAGATAAGGAATCAGACAAGGCGTCATTTATATATAGTTATAATTAGTAATAGGCCAATAGTTGAGTGCTCTATTTAATTTAATCTGCTTTTAAGCAATTACACCATGATTATGTCACTTAATGACGCATGAACATTGGACGACGCAGAATTACGTCTACGCTTATTGCTCAGAATTTCAGAAAATAAAAAATGTCTAGCATTTTTTTAGGATCCACACATATACTAAAGAAAATAAAAATATTAAAAACGTGTCAGCATTCTTGTAATAGCTCACTTGACATCGGGTTGACATAATTTTTATTAAATTTCCATGTCACTTGTGTCTTTGACTATTGATACTGCACATCTCGAGCCTAGTCTCGATTGAATTAGCGATCAGGGAACAACTAGACCGATAAGTCAAAGAAGAAATTTTTCCACAATTCTTAATCTAATCACGTCACAATCCGAAAAACTTCGTGAATTTCAATTATATTCATTATATGAACGTTTCATGCAATGAACAAGGTAATTCAGCATGTGGGGCGGCTTCTAATTTGTCCATAAACACCTATGAATAATCTTTAAAATCATTCAGTATGTCAGATTAATTGTGAATTAAATTCTTGATGTGGAATAGAATAATGTTGATGGGTTGGTGCCCTGTATGAGCAGATAGCTGGGCACCCGAAAAAGGGAACTGCATTGCTATATAAAATAATAATTATTTTTAATTCAGATATGCTCAAAAATTAATTTAAGTTCATGTTTGAGCCACATTATAGAAAAAAATGCATTATTTATGTCAAATCAATGAGAAATATGTGGTTAAAAAATAAATAAAAATTTTAGAGTTGCGTGTAAAATTATTATATTAAAAAATGTGTGATTGAAATGATATCAAATCATTATTAAAGAATGTATTTTTTTGAAAATAATGTGGCTCAACCTATATTCTCTGTTATACCACCTGAATGACATTTTGGCTGTGTAGGCATAGTGACGTCAGCGAAAGTTGAGACAAATTATATATCCATGTTCAAAAGCATTAATCTACTTTTTAATTGCAGCATGTGCCGCCCAATATATTCAAATTAATGAAAGTCAACATATGAGATCGTATAAGAAATTAAGGTTGAGATGAATTATTATTTATTAGAGTGAATTGAGTACGTTAGTTCAAAGGTTTTAAAGAAAAAAATCAATCAATCAATCAATTAAAGAAGCAATTTTTTATACTGTATTTAACAATCAAATCGTAAGAACTGATAAACGTAATTGTAAAGTTGTTTGCATGGCCATCAATATTGGCATGAGAAGAGGGATAACTTTTGGTGGGACATTCGCAAAGATGGACCAACCAACTACCAAGAGTTCCTTGACAAGGCCAAGAAGTGCATGGATTACCACAAAAAAGGGTTATGGTCAAGAGATCAGCGACTTCATGATACAGTCCAAATGGTCAATTTCGAGAGAGAGAATTGGTGAGTCAAATGATACAAAGTTTAACAAACAAAATTTCGGTTCACCTAACATTTCTATAGCAAGTCCAAGCTATATTGTCCTACAATTTCATGAAAAATAAACCCTTAGTCCTAATGTGTAATCATGTTGTTATACACGTGAGAGTGACCTAAAGTGACCATTCTAACATAATCTTTTCTGTCAAAAAACATTTTGTTCCACTAAACCATTAGTGGCCAACTTGCCTTCAAGACTCTCAAGGTGATCACTTCGAGTCTACCGCCTCATGAACAAAGTTTTCTACTCCAATTTTAGTTAACAAGAATGTGAAAAAATATGAAAAGAGAGCATACAACACTTTAGTCTTGAAATGAAACGGTCGAGACGAAGAAGGCTAAGTAGACCTTGATCACAATGGTCAGCTTAAGCGAACGATCAAAGATAGTCTTATGAGATGATAAAGCGCATGAAAGTCCTCGTCAATCCAAATATTTCTCAACATGTTCATGATATGAGTTTGAATTCTTCCATACTAAAATTGACCCTTGACAAGTCTAATCTCATTGTCTTCTACTCTTGTGACATAATAATCAAACGTCACGATGTGCAAAAATAATATTTTTTTTCACTTATCAGTAATTAGTTACTAATGTCTTAACTTATCATTTCTTAATAGAAAGCAAAACACCAGACAGACAAGTTTAGCAGAGCGATGCATTATCTTGTACTGAAGTGCACGATAAAGACACATCTGACAGCTTTACAAAGTAAAACCAGTATCCTTAACTAGTACACATGTTACCTTAATTTCCCCAAAAAAGTCCAAAAGTGCACATGAAACTGTAAGAAAAAGTGATTATTAAAATTACAAGGGGGAAAAAAAAGAAAAATTGACTATTTTCCGGTCTTTTTTTCTTCGAATTCAAGAAGATCCTCTAACAACTTGTCATCTAAGTACTCAAATTCGAATACTACTTTCGAATTCTCATCATCACTTCTCTTCACATTCGACGACGAAGAAGAAGCCGATAGAGCAGGATATTCATGAGGGAAATTAAGAACTGCCAAAGAACCTCTCATATTAAAAGCAGCTTGATCGTATGCTCTTGCTGCTTCTTGAGCAGTGGTAAATGTCCCCAGCCACAATCTGTTTCCATTGTTATTCGAATCCCGAATCTCCGCTGCGAATTTTCCCCACGGCCGCCGCCTTACTCCCCGGTATTTCACTTCTCCACCACTTCCGCCTCCCTCTTTGTCTTCTTTAGACTTGTCTTTTGAATTCTTATCCATACTTTTTCACTCAATACACTACCACCTTCTGTACTACATTTATATATACACAATGAGCGGAAAATTTGCATTGACCAAAAAGGTCAAATTCGTGGGGTCCTTTCCGAAGAAGATCCATCGAATGCTAAGGGCATATGAATTAATAAACTATGTAATTAATTATTATTATTTAGGTCAGAATTTGTTCGTAATAAACTTTTATTAAAAGCAGATTAGTTGTGATGTCATTTGATTACGCAAGTCTATGATTCTTAATTTTGATTAAGAATTTCTTTTTTCAGTTATTCAGTGTATTTTGAGCAGATGGTGACCCCAAAAAGGGAAAGTCACTAAGTCAGTGAATCTAAAAATAAAATATTATTACTACATGGTGAATTTAAAATCATGTTTCTTGTGACGTACCTTCATTACATGTTCATTGCATCATAATAGTGACGTATACGTATTAGTATTAGTGTTTGGTAGAAATTTGATAATTGATTTTTTGACTGTTAGAGATAAAATAAGTCCTATATATGAGAGAAGAATTCAAAAATTATAGCGATAATAGTGAAATAACGATCAAAAAAATGATTTTAATCGACTTTTTAGCTGTACCAAACAAGCTAAGTTTAATTGTGACAAAAAAATATAATCAAAAAATTATATAGTGTATATGGATTCTTGTAAATGGTGTAGATTCAATGGCTAAATTGTTGGGATAACAATGGCATGTGTTTAACGGCAATAATAGTGAAATAACGGTAAAAAAAATGATTTTAATTGAATTTTTAACTGTACTAAATAAGCTAAGTTTAATTGTGACAAAAAAATATAATCAAAAAATTATAGTGTATATGGATTCTTGTAAATAGTGTAGATTCAATGGCTAAATTGTTGGGATAACAATGGCATGCGTTTAACATAATTAATAGACCGATCCTATTACTAGTTAAACAAGCAGGTTGTCCATAATTAATAAACAAAGGACACGTTTGGTAATGCTTTTGAAAAGTCAAGAGTTAATTCTAAAACTAAGAAGTTATTTTCTAATATGCTTAAATAATTTTCTAAAAGTATTTTATTGGACTTAAATATTTTTAAAAGAAGCTGATTTAAAGTAATTTTTTAAGAAAGTTCTTCAATAAGAAACAGAAGCTTGTCAAGGACCCTAATTTCATTGACTTTTAAAATTAAAGAAGTCTTTTTACAAGAAGCAGACGTGAAAACAAAATCAGAAGTCTTACCAAACAAGTCCTAATATATTTTAATTTTAAAAGAATATACCATGAGGGTGTTCAAAAGTTAGGATTGAAGATATTGCTTGGATTCAATTATTGCCTACTCGTATACTATTATTTTGCTATTGATATGCGGATTTATTTATTTATTGGTGGTTTATATTTGGATATTCATGAAGGTGTTAAAATGAGATTCTAGATTTTTTAAATTTTGATCTTGATTGGTGTGATCGAACTATTTCGAGATTTATTTATACTTTAGTAAATTGTATTAAAATGAGATTTGAAAAATAATTTCAAGATTATGTGATTTTGTGATCCTCTCTGCAGTTGAATAATCCCAATTCCCAAATACAAAATTCTACAATTCCTCTGCTCATGTATGTATTTTGATTTAAAAAACTTTACTCTAACAACTATGAGTTTGATTAAATGATTCAGCCCTTGTTTGATGGTCGTTATTTGTGAAAAATAATGTTTTGAGTAGCGATTTTTAGAAAAATGTGTGATTAAAAAGTAAAAATTGAGTTTACGAGCAAAATATTTTAATGTGTGAATATATGATAGAAAACGAGTGTACAAAATAGAATTTTCAAATAATTATGTTCAAACAGGGGATCATTTAATCAACACCCCAAAGTCCTTAAAATTTATTTTATCAATTTTAGTGAACCCAAAGTTCTAGCCTAGAACTGTCCTAGAAGCCCAACCCTGAACACACAGCGCAAGTGCGCACTAAATTTGAAAGAATACATGAGGAAACTAACAATGTCCAATTCTCTTTTCAATCTTTCTATCAATAACATGGTTTATCATCTCCACCGCCATATCCTAGCACCACCATCAACGCCACACATCACCACCACCACCTTCGGCAATGTGCCGCCCCCACAGAATAAAGAAACTTATAACAATCTATTGAATAAGACTTAAATAATTACTTATTATTTTGCAATCACACTGCCTATTCCTTTGGCAATTGTACAAGGTCACTCGAGAGTTCAAATTAGAATTTTTCAACATCAATGATTAGAGAACCAACTCAAAATTTGTCAGAGAAAATTGATTTGACATTTATTGATAAAAAAGAAACAGATTGATAGAATTTCAATGGATGTGGGGAGGTGTTTTGCTCGATGAGCCGATATTAAGGTCGTCATGGTTGTAGTTACAATCACAAATCTGACGATCAAGAAACCATAGCAAGAAAAATTCGGTAGTTATAGCTTTAAACATTTATGTCGCAGAGTTGGCGCAACATAATGTGTGGAGTGGTTTCAAACGGGTAGCATAATATGTTACTTGTGTTTTATGATGATTGAAGGCAACAATGTGCGAGTAATATAACTCATGCTTTACGATTGTGATGGTAAATGGTGACGTGGAGTTGTTTTAGATTGTATTGTATAATATTAACAATTCTATGGCTGAAATTTATTTTTAACTATGGAATAATAACTGATGTAAAAACATATACTTAATTTAATTAATTGAGAAAATTATTGATTGGAAGATAACAATTAATAAACATTATTAGATTTTACAATTTTGAAAAAAGTCAAAGAATTTTTAACATTTTATTACCTTAAAAAATTAATTATTATTTATTAATATTAGATTTAGGAAAAGAACATAATAAATTTTAGGAATAAATACAGTCGCAATTTCGAACATTTAACTTTATTGCAGCTTTTATGAGAACCTTTCATTTATTGCACCCACAATCACAAACATTTTAATTGATTGCATCCGATGTGACTATAATTACCCCTTTTGTACCCACTATGCAAATTATAGTATTTAAATCGTAAATTTAAAAACCACGATGTGTGTTGTAAATGATAAGTTTATTAATGAATAACAATTGTACCCCTACAACCCTAGATTTTATTATCATTGTATCCCTAATATTCCCTATAAATATAGGTATTGGTTCTTAACAATACATACAATTTATTAACTTTTATTCTCCCTTCTTCTTCTTCTTTTTTCTCTAGTTATCAGTATGTGTATCTAAAAATCAAAATGAGTTAGTTAGAAGGTAATGATTTTTATAAATATAATCATTTGTCGCATCCATCAAAATTAATTGGTGATATGTGAATTTTTTTATATACATATTCATTATAAGACACGAATTTCTTCTTGAGAATTTTTGGCGATTTATTCTACATTGTGAATTTAGTAACTTGTGCATTTCTTTACCAACTGCATGTCTATATGCATATTCGTTTTCATTAATCAATTATGAAATCAAGCCAATTCATATTAACGGGAGAAAGCAAATTTTACATTAATATATCTACTTTTTCAATTGAATTCGTTTTAATAAATTCAAGCCAAGATTTTAACTTAAATCTTGTCTCCTTGTTAATTATCTATTTTTCGCTCATTGTTCGATTAATTATCTTGTTTCCTTATTTTTAATACAAGTATAATTTATGAATTTAGTACTCGTATATCCCTCTTTATAAAATATTTTGTAGTTGCTCCTAATGTAACACATCATTATGCTTAATATTCCAAAAGAATATTACTCGTAGATCTGTCTACTACAAATATGTTGTTATTCCTAAGGTATCACAACATTGGTAATATTCTAAAAAATATTAATTGTTCTAGAAGAACATGATATTATAATTTCAATATTCTAGATGAATATTGAACTATTTTTCGTTAAAAAGCATGAGTTTAATTACTCTATTTATTTATGTATCCATTCTCCTGCACACATATTTATATATTAATTTTCTAATTAAATTTTACTTGCTCTCAAAGAGAATAGTTAAATACGATTTAATGTAAATTATATTTTTACTATTGAAAAATAAATCATTGTATAATTTATTATAATAATATTTGATTAGTTTTAAAGAGCATGAATTATAATTTTTAATATTTCAAAAGAATATTGACATATTACTTTTGAACGAGTAATAATAAAATACAACATGCTCTCAAAATAGTACATGTATCGAAGAATTTATCATTTTGAATTCACGATTATTCCTGAAGGAAAATATAGAACTCGTGTCATGTAGACATTTATTCTTATATAATTATATCATAGTTAATCATATTTTCGAGAACTAATTATCTCTTTGTTTGATTGAATAATTATTCAAATGACAAATATTATATTGGACTAGAAGTTCAATTTGACTTTATTGTTTGGTATGACCAATTGGACTATCATTGGATCAATAATAATACAAAATTTAAAAATTCAAATGAATATTCAATGAAAAATCTTAAGATTCTTCAATTTAATGAAATCCTATATGATGTTTATTTTCTTACATGAAAATTTTTCGTTAATCATCACTAGATAAAATAAGAACTGAAATTCTTATATATCTGAAATTTACTCAAGGTGATAAATAAGGCCCCATCATCATTCACGTTGACCATCTAAATATTATTTGTATTTAATAAATTTAATATAAATACTAAATGATTATAATGTATTCGCAACCTAAAGTTTGCGAAATTACTGTTCAAATTTTAGATTGTGAGCATAATTTTCACATTATACAATTAACACGGTATGTCTTGTTAGTGTTAGTGATCCTAGATCTCAACATTATATAAGTGTTAGTTGAGATGTCGATAAATGATTTAATACTATTGTTTGTTAAACACCTCTGATTAATTTAATTGAAAACAAAAAACTTTTAATTTCCTGTTTAAGAAATGTCATTATGCATCATGCCAATATCATAATTCTTCATATTATAATTGACTTATGTGAGAGGATGATTTCTTGATCTAATTATTTGA